CCTTCGTGGGCAAATTCTGCGTAACAAAACGTTGGGAAGATGCTGGTGTTTTCCAGGCTCTGCTGTTGTACCGGTCTGGTTATGTCTTTATGTCTAAACTGCATTGGAAAAACACCCCGCTGCTGTTGTAGTGGAAAGGTTTTCGTTATGTCAGACAGGTAAACTGCTGTTCTCTTAAAAATGCAGCCAGTAACTCCAGCAGAGTTGCCTACGGAGTAGTTTGGAGCATTTGGGGTAATGTAAAATAAATGCGCTTTGTATTTTGCACGTTAATGTTCCTAATTACTTCCAGTAAACAGTAAATGTTGAAATAACTCATTTAGAAACGTCTCAAGTGGATTTTTCCAAACGCAGGGAAAAAAAAAAGTGAAAAACCGAAGCTTTTGTTCCTCGGAGGGACGCCCCTGCAGCCCTTCCCCAGCAACCGAATCACAGCCGTTCCCAGATTTGCAGAAGGCGCTGCCCCCTCCCTCTGCCAACCCAGGGCTCTGCAGCCAGGAGCCGGGGTCCCCAGCAGCTTTTGGGGAGCTTTTCCAGCTCTCTGTGAGCCAGGAAAGATTATTCTGTTGCCAATGCGTGTCTGGAGACTTGGTGTGGAACTGGGAATATGGGGAGTGTGGCTGTTCTGGGAGCAAAGATTTACACTTTGGAGAAACTGTTGAGTAAATATTCTTCTCACTGCAGCAGCTTTTGCTTGCTTGCTGTTGTGGAATGAGTAATTCGCCCTGATAACTGAGACCCCCGGATTAATACAGCAGCTTCTGAAATACAACTAAATACTTACTGAGCGTGGATATCCTGGGAGGAGCTGCAGGCATTGGCTGTACCACCTCCTGCGTTGGCATTTGCCAGCGCCAAACATTTGTGTCCTGTCATTGGGAGAAGCTGCGCTGTCTCCCCATGGATGCGGCGGCTGCATCAGCCCAGCATGGGGACACCTCGGATACATCCTAAAGATCGACCCAGTCCCTTCGCTCTGGGCAGGATGGATGTTGTGGCACCAGACCTGGAGGAGAAAAGCAGCACAAATAGCTGTGCTTTTGTGGGTTTTGCAGCCTGGTCCGTGACAACACCAGCCCCGCTCAGAGGTGAAACGATCGGCTGCAATAACACCACGATGCTCTGTATTTCAGCTGAAACAACTCACGCCTGCCGAGGGTTGCTTCACAGAGCTTGCATCAACTGTTGTTCAGGTTTGTCTTCGTACAGATGTAGGTGTTCCTCGTGCAGGGACACTGGTAATTACACCCCGTCGCCCATTGCTCAGCTGCTGTCACGCAGGTGCCCCAGTTTGGGTGCTGGGCCCTGTAATGACCGGGCACCACGACCGATGCCTGCACGGCAGCTCCTGCGCTGGCAGCGATGCCTGGCGGCAGATAAATCTGGTTATTGCCCTGCACGGGGTGCTTGCAGGGCTGTGCAGCCACGTGAATGCAGCCCGCTTGCAAAACTTAATACTCTGAAGAGCAAGGGGAGAGTTATTGAAACAAATGGCCAAAGGGGTGTTGTGCGAAATGGCTTCACTGTAAGGCTGTAAGAATTGTATTTTTGTTTTTTAATGCTATTGTGAGTGAGTTCCTGTGCCTGGCTGAAGCTTGGATGATCCCTGTCCTCACCTCCAGCTCCTCTGGCTGCCTACTCCTAAAAAACCATGACAGAACAGGGTGCACACGGCAAATATTGAACGCGCCGGACTTTTCTCAGCTGCAGCCGAATGGTTGCAGTTCTCCTCTTGTTGAATGGTACCTGTAAGCGGTGTGTAAATATTTGATGATTGGTGATAAAGGTTTGATTTATGGGTCAAGTCCCCTGGTTTTGTCATTTCTTTGGGCTCATGAGGTTGGTGCTGACCACTGGGGCTGCGAGTCGATGGATGCTGTTTGTGTTGAGCCCGTGTTGGAATAGGGGAGGTATTTCCACGTGCAGTCCTGTTGAAGTGTGTGCAGGCAAAATATCGCATGGATTGTAAAATATCCGTGTGTGAGAGGCACGGAGCTGCTGGCAGACACCAGCCCTGGAAAACTGCAGGTTCTGCCCATTTCCTAGCTTTGGGCAGTACAATATGTGCAGGAAAATGAACACATCTCGACCAAGAATGACCAAATCCTGTGTGTGCTGTGGCACCGCTTCCACCATCTGCAGATACTGCTCTGGAGACCAGCAGGAGATTTTTGGTAACCTCATGGGGAAACGCAGCACGCTTCAGTATCAGCTGTGTCCGGCCCTGGTGTTTTGGCAGGACACATTTTGTTTCGCCTTCTAACAGATTATAGCAGCCTATATGAATTTAATACGAGTTTTGAAGTCTAGTATCTGCATCCATGGGCTTTGTTGTAGATTTATCCCTTCCGGCTAGAAGTGGATTTTTCAGAGGAGAGCTGCGCGCTGCCGTGGTGTCAATGGGTGGAAGAGGAAGGGGAATTTCAACCTCTTCCCCTTTCCTTTCCTTCTGCGTAAGGGACGTGGCTGCACACAGCAGTAACTGTCACTGAGCACCGCGTTTTGAAGGAAAACTTGAGAAAATCGGTCCAGTGCTGTGCCCTGGCAATGGGCAGACATCAAGAAGTTCCCTGCATTTCACACAAAGCTGTCTGGGGTGTTTACACCTCCATTGACAGCACTCGCTGGCTGTTGCCTGTTCACACACGATAACTTTGAGTTCAGACAAAACCTGTTTGCCAGCACAGGCGAGGCAGCGACGGCTGCTGCTGGGATCCCTATTTTGATCCTTCCTGGCCTGTTCTGGGCCAGTTCCTTTTCGGAAGTCTCCTGCCGCTGTCTGACTTGCACCTTTAATTCCCCTCGCCCTTTTCTGCCAGGAGAGTGGGGAGTGCTGGCTCAGCTGTAAAATTCTGGCCTGGACAGTGATGGGAAGGACAGATCTGCCCCCTTACTGGAACTGGGGGAAGAGAAACCAGTCTCATCTTCCCATGAATAATTCCTCTGCATTTCTTCCATAGAGCTTTCTCCAGAATTTCCCCAATTTCCCAGCTAAGCCCCGTAACGAGGTGATCCAGACCCAGAACGTGCGTTAGGTCCTTTCCCAGCATCGCCACCGTCTGTCGTGACCCGTTGTGACCCGCCGTGGCGCTCGGTCCTCAACACGAGGAGATGCCCCCGTCTCTGCGGGCACAAACCTCAGGGAATTGGTGTTGACTGGGGAAATGGCAAAACTCCCACTTTAATGATGTGTGAAATGGGCTGAGCAGCTGCCTGTCTCGTGGGCCCGTTAGGACTCGCGAACTTGTGATATCTTCTGGTGGGAAGCGCTAAAAGCGTCTGTGGGGGGGCAGACAACACTTTTCTGCGTGACGTTTGGGGAAGGAGCGCTGAAGAGCTCGCGTCCCACTTCGGCATCGTGCTTCAGTGTCTGGAGAGGACTCGAAAGCAAACTGTGTGATTTGGAGACACGGCTTTTGCCTGGCTCAAAGCGATGTTTTTAGTGCTCTCTCGTGACAGTGGCTTTATTCTGTTGGCCGTTTGCTGTCAGCGATGGGAGCGTATTAAAAGCTGCGTTAGCTCTGCTGGGTGATGGGGTTGGGTCGGTGCTCGGGTACAGAACGGCTGCTCCGAGAAGCTGTTGGTAAGGGCTGGTGTGCGGCTCCGTAAGCCACCCAGATCGTACTTTCCTTTTTTAACTCTTAATCTGATCCTCCACCACTGAAGTGACCCAGCTGATGCCGGGTTTATTTGCTTTGCATCCACACAACTCGATTGACTCAGCCCCACTCGGTCAATGAGGAGAATTGGCTGTTTTGGGCTGTAATTTCGGCAGCGGTTTTTACCAGGAAGATCTGAGTTGTTCCTGGAGATTAAAGAGAAATTTTATTAATGAAATTAAAGCTCATTCTCCTTGTTCCTTGCTTTGCATTTGGAGATGTTGTAAGCAGCCCGAGTTCACAGATCCCTTTAATTCCTCCCCAGGCGTCGCCGTGTGCAAGTTGTGTTCCTTGGGTTTTTCACCATGGCAAGACAATACCGCGTCTTTAAACACCCATAGATGCCCCTCAGGGAGCACGTGAGGCTTTGCCATCGGGGTTTTTTTCTGAGGACTCCTTAGAAAAGAGCAGCTTCTCTCGCTCTCTCAGCTGCTGGGGTGATTTCAGTGGGTCCAAAAGTCCGTTTGGGGTTTGTTGGCCCTGTGATAACGCTTTGGGCTACAGCAAACAGCTCGGGCTGAGCTGCCCTGGAGGGACACAGGGTTTGCCTGGGGTCCTATCTCCTGATGCAGCCCCAGAGATCTCCCTTTAAACCTCTAAACTTTATGATTTCAAAACAATACTGGTTGTCCCTAAGGGCTGCTGTGAGAACAATTTGAGTAATGCTTTTGTATTTCAGCTCCTGTTCTCCAGCACCCTGCAGCCTTTTCTGTTATGGAAACCGGCCTTGCTCTGCCCGTATCCTCAGCCCCCGTTTGGTGGCTTTTGGGGCTGTTTGATCATTCTCGTCGTGGCCCTTCCCTCCGAGCCGTTTGCCATATGCTTGTGTGATGCGTAGTTACGCTTTACGGTTTGGATGTGCCTGTGCTTTGCTGTGCCTGCACAGAGCTGACACAGATGGAACCCGTGGTGGTGCTGCAGGTGATACCAGCCCACAGGAGCCCCTCATTATGTGTGACCTGGTCTGGGTGATCCTGCTCTGACAGGGGGGTGGGACTGGATGATTTTTTGAGGTCCTTTCCAACTCCTAAAGTTCTGTGACTCTGTGATCCTGTACTTTAATAGATCAATTCAAAAACTCACTTTACATTTAATCCATCAATCCACAAAGCATTCTAGGACCATTTTTAAACTATATTGGATATAATATCCTATCCAACTAGGGTCCAATCCAGGAGTTTGAAAGCTCGAGCCCAAAGTTTCTCTTTTGGGGATTTATTGGGCCAGATGTCTCTCTTGAAACGGCCTCGTTAAGCAGCAGCTTCTTCCCTAGAGTGAAGCAGGCTTTGTTTCCTTAATGAAAATATATGGCTAAAATGTTGAAACTGTTTTTGTTTACAGATGTTCTCAAACAACGATGAAGCTGTGATCAACAAGAAACTTCCAAAAGAGCTGCTGCTCCGGTAAGCTGCCTTTCCCTTCCTAAGCCTGGAGACCGCCTCGGGTGTCGTTATTTGCAGCCCGTGGCTGAATTTGCTGCTGTGCTCATAAACCATCAGCTTGGATTGGGTCACTTGCAGAGCCATAGACAAACAGAAGCAGATCAGAGGTCTGCATCGGCAGCAGCTTATGCTAAATGTGATTGGGGTTTGGGGTTTTAAAATGGTAAATTAATTTGCTAGTTGCCTCTTTTGTAGATGGAAGAACTAAGGAAAATAAGTTGTAAGTATAGCTGATGTGCAGGGTAGGATTCTGCCTGCGTGTGAAGCGTTTCATATAAACAGTGAGTTCCTCTGCTCCAGTTATGCTCGAGCAGACTTTGTCCCGTGCCTTGTCTATAAGAGTCGGGTGCTCAGCACCTGGCAGGATGGTGCTGTTGGCAAATACCAAAGAAATCAGATGCTGTGGGTCTCCATAGACACCTCTGCCCTCTCCCTTCCACACATGTCTGTGCCTTTCCAAGTTCTCCTTCCCTGGTGCGGGATGTGTGCGATCGTACCTCGTCGTCACCGCTTGCATCTTGAAGCACAGTCGTGCTCATTGGGGCTGTGAGCTGCCATGCAGGCTGCAAACGGTGAAGGCGATTGCGGGTGGCAGCGTGAATTATTAACACGAACAAAATCCTTGCACTCCAAGAAACCGTGGGGTACTGTCGACGTTTAATGGCAATGAAAAGTCTGCGGAGAGGAGCTCTGACGCAGGAAACTGCCTCTACCTCACTCGTGAAATAAAACAAATAGAACAAAAGTCTGACTTCTTTCTTCTGCCTGCATTGCCTCCTCTGTTCTCCCTGATGGCATCTCCAATCTGATTTGGTTTCTTTTATCCCGGTATTATTCATCCAGAAGCAAGATACATGCCTTCTAAAGCCCTCGTTGTAATAGTGTGGGTATTTGAGGGTTGATCCTGGTATAGAGACGTGTGTTCCACTGGGCTCCCATGAAGCAGGACCTTGGTTAAAGCATGGGTGAGCTTTCTGGGACCAACAAGCACTCTTTGGGCTGTGGGAGGTGGCTGGTGTTGAGGAGCATTGCTTGACCATTGGAGAAGGCTTTGTGGTAAGGAGGGGAGAAGGTCCCACACCGAGCAGGGGGATTTTCTCAGTATAAACCTGAGTTCTCAGCAGTGCACACACCTCTGCTTTTGTCTTTTTACATCACTGATCATCCTGACCTGCTGCAGAACAGAGCCGGTGCTCAGGGTTGTGTAGGACTTAAATCAGGAGACGAAGTTTATAAATGTTAAAGTTCATAAGTAATGATTTGGAGAGCTGGAATTCACTGTTAGCGCACTGTGAAAATTAATTAGTGTGGATTGACAGTGCAGCCTTTGAAAGAGAAACTTGGATGCAGTTGTCTGCAGGAATCTCCTGTAAATGAGCGTTGCTGTCTACAAGACAAAGACTGATGTGTTTAAGCGGTGCCGCTGTGTAATGTCTTGTTCTCTGGTCTGTTTGTTCTGCAGTGGCATTGGTGTCTCGTGTATGTGGCTGCAGCGTGGAAAGCTGCACTTGAGCAAAATAAAGAGTGGGAGGATATCAGTGGGGTGAACAGCAGCCTTTGTCACAGCCCGAGGTGCAGAGATGTGCGATTCCAGTAACACTTTTGGCTGGGAGGATGGCGTGGAGGTGTCAAGCGCTCAGGAGGGCTGTCCTCCGAAATCTCTCCTGTAAATGTGTCCGTGCTTTAAATCTGTCGCATCGTGTCCTGCCCTGCCACGGTGCTGGAGGCAGCGATGTTTGTCCTTCATTTCCCTGAGAGCACACGGGTAGAGACATCAGTGATGGGTCACAAATCCGTGTCCCGAAACGCCTGTACCCACTTCAGCTCTTTCTGAGCTGCGTTTCTAAGAGCTCACGCCTTTATACGTGAATGTACCTTTACAAATGAACCAAACCAGCAAAAAGTGATGCTCCTTAACTGCCCTTCACTGCTCCCAGCTCCTCTTTGGGCAGCGCCTGACCCGGTGGCTCTGCACGGTGAATTCCTCCTGTGGTGGTTTCCCCAGAAGGGCCATGATGTCCCTGTGTCCCTGCCCTGCTGAAAAGGTGCATTCATCCATTCTTTGAGGGCTCCCTGCCCATCGCTTTCTGTCTGGAAGCCAAACCCCAACCACAAGCCTGGGTTTTCGGCACAGCAGTGGTCTCTGCTGCTTTCCTGGAGGTTTACCCTCCGTGACGTGGGGCTGCTGAACAGCTTACGCTTGGCAGGGCGAAGCGGGCTGCACGAGTTCGTCTTTTCCTTGCCGGTTCACGGGCAGGTCAAGCGGTTTTCAGTTCTCTTCTGCCGTAAGCGGCTTTTGCTCCGTGCCACCTCCTGCAAGCCCGTTTCCAGCACGTCCAGCCGCTAGCTGTGCCATCTGACCTTCGGGATTTACTCCTCAGGAGCTTGAGTTCTGCTGGGGATGGGGAAGCGATGGAGCGCAGGGGACCGGTGAGTTGGCAGCAAAGTGGGCGTTTGTGTCCCCGTGGCGTGAAACGAGCACAGAGCAAAATTTAACTGGAATGGTGGCACTGGCATGAGCTGGTGCTGATAATTTTAGAAGGCTGAAGGGCTAAGCTAGCTCACCTCAAAGCCCGCAGGGATTTCATTCGAGTCTTGACCCTAATCTCATTAGAGCGGCAGTGGGAAAGTGAGGAGTCCTGGGAAACTCTGAGTGGATTAAGAGGTTGAAACCTGAAAAATGCTCCAACTGCAGTGTGTTTTGGCTAAATTGTGCTCTGCGAGAGCAAAGCCTGTGCTCGGGGCTGCGTTGGAAAACTTGGCTGGGGTCATTGTGCCTGCAGGGTTTTAACTGAGCTCTGGTTCATGTGAGGGGTTGCAGTTGGAGCCAAGTCTGAAACGACCCAAAGTGCAGTGGCGGCTGCTGAAAGAGCCATTTTTACAGCCGGGTTCTGCTGAGTCATGGGCTGATATTCCTGAACGAATGCTGGAGCCGTTCAGAAAACCCTGGAAAAGGCTCCTGCGCTTTGCAGAGCCAAAGTCTCAAAGTCAGACGAGAAGGGAGCTCCTGGCGAGGCCCAGCGATGTTAAATTCGGAGGCGAGGGGCGAGCGCTTTGCTGCCCCCACATCCTCTGTGCTGGGGTTTGACTGGGAAGGGAGGAGCAGGAAGCAAGAATTTGGCCAAGAGCTCATAGCCCCGATGGAGGGATGAGGCTGTTATTAATAGCCCAGGATTTCCGTGGAGAAAGCACTTTTAATGGAAATACAGCAAGCTTACGTAGTTATTGACCCAGTCGCCGTTCCCATGGAGTTTGGTATTTTTTTGCTCCTATGATGGGAATCTAGGGTGAAAGTAAGAATTTTCCCCAGCCTCTGTCATTTCCCCAGGCTTTCCTTGTATTGTTGTACGCTGGCACTGTGCTAAATAAATCCTCGGTGCTCACATACGTGCGTGAATAAGTGACATTGAATTCAAGGGGAAGCCTTGGCCATAAGCAGCTGAAAGCGAGCACGGAGCCACCTCTGAAACCCCAAAGTGGTTCCCAAAGCAGCGTTAGGGTGAAGTGCACTATCTCAGTGTGTCGCTGTCAGTTGTCTGGTGATGCGATGCACGAGGAACAAATGAGGAGTATCCTGGGGCAAATGAGGAATATCTTGGACCAGGCTCCTCAAATCTGCAAGTACCTCTGGGCAGTGCAGAGACACAGGGGAGGACGTGGCTGTTTATTCTGCCCCGTCCTGACTTCACATTGGACTGTTAAGCTATGTCACATATATATAAGCACCCACGATTGATAAATAATCTGCGTTCATCCTCTACCGGCAACATCTTTTTCTCTTCTTCCGCCAACACTGATGTTTCTAAAGTGCTTTTTCTATACGTGCTCATGAAGCTTGATCATGCAGTGGTTGTATCATCCCAGCCATGCTTGTGTCCTCTCCTAAAACTTGAAGATCCAGGATTTCACAGAATCACAGAATCACAGAGCGTTAGGGATTGGAAGGGACCTCAAAGCTCATCCAGTCCAATCCCCCTGCCGGAGCAGGAACACCCAGATGAGGTTACACAGGAAGGCGTCCAGGCGGGTTTTGAATGTCTGCAGAGAAGGAGACTCCACAACCTCTCTGGGCAGCCTGGGCCAGTGCTCTGTCACCCTCACTGAGAAGAAGTTTCTTCTCCAATTTCAGTGGAACCTCCTGTGTTCCAGTTTGTGTCCGTTACCCCTTGTCCTATCATTGTTTGTCACCGAGAAGAGCCTGGCTCCATCCTCGTGACACTCACCCTTTAAATATTTATAAACATGAATGAGGTGTCCCCTCAGTCTCCTCTTCTGCAAACTAAAGAGCCCCAGCTCCCTCAGCCGCTCCTCATAAGGGAGATGCTCCACTCCCTCCATCATCTTTGTAGCCCTACGCTGGACTCTCTCCAGCAGTTCCCTGTCCTTCTTGAACTGAGGGCCCAGAACTGGACACAATATTGCAGATGTGGTCTCACCAGGGCAGCGTAGAGGGGGAGGAGAACCTCTCTCGACCTATTTGCTATAACAATATGCAAATACATGGGCATCTAAAGGTGTGCAGCTCGTATTAACGCGCGTGCAGAACTCAGTGTCGATAGTAAAATCCTGGGTAACCCCTCATAGTTCATCTCCAGGCCCAAGTGCAGTTTCCACGCATGCAGTGTTTGTTCACATTTCCCAGCACCTCTTCCCCAGCTGTATGGGGATCTGTGCTGTTTATTCAGAAATATTCTTTGTATTTATCTGGGGAGATGACGCTCACGTCCACCCCCCTCCAGGCGCAGTCTCGTGAGGAGATGACTCAGGCGCTGCAGGTACCGAACCATTGCTAATCCAGCACACGCTGCTCTCATGAGAAACTCAGGAGTTTGGGAGCAGCGGAGCTTTGGTTTGTTCAGGATCGCTCCTGGACGACCACGCTTTATCTGACAAGAGTATTTTATGAATGGTGTGTAGCATTGGAACAAAATGGCTTGCCCCAGCCTTGCATTTGATAACATTTGCCTTCTCTTCCTGGTCTTCAGGTTTACTGTATTAAAGCACTCGTGGAAGTGTTTTCTTGTAGTCAAACATTTGTGTTACCTTCGCAAAAACATCTCATCCTATGGCTTTGTAATTGCTGTTGAAGAGAATGAGACCTTTCAGTCCTTCTGCTGTGCACTTGACCTTCTCTGTTTTGTGGCATATGCTTGTTTAAACCATAAAATGGCCATATTGATGAACTGGTACAGATCTGGGAGCTGTAAGTGTGCTCTAGAGGGATATATGCCTGAGATAAAAGCATGGATCTCAGCCCAGCGTAGCATTGCAGAACATTACTGCCCAATTTCCCTCTCCCAACAAACAGGAACCTCCCAGCGCAGTGAAGCGACCGCGTCGGCCTGAGCCCACACGCGCCCCTCCTGGACACCGTCCGGACACAGCCCCACAGATGTGCAAACAAAATCCCCTTCCTGTCTGTGCTGACAGCGTTTGTATTGTGTATGGTTGTTTGTATGGTGTGAGAAAGGAGGAATAACCCACGCGCTGAAACCAGGCCGCCGCGTTGCTTTGGTCTGTAACTGGTAATTATTCCGCTGCCCGCTCTGCAGAGCTGTTGCTGGAGGTGTTTTTGTTGCACAGGGCGCAGCGATGCTCCTGTGTCAGGTAGGAGCCACAACAGCCCAACATCCTGGGCGTTTGGCTGTTACCATTATCACACGGTACCTGTGAGCATCCGTTCTGATCAGTAATGGTTCAGTTTTCTGTCAGGAAACACTGCGAGGTGCGAGAGGAATATTTCACATCTCTTGTGTTTTGCTTTCATTTGTTAACTGCTAGCTCTGCGCTTCTTTTCACAGTCCAGCTTTCAACCGAAATACAAAGCAGTTTTGCTGCCTCCAGTCCTTTTTGTCCTCCCCTTTGTTTCCCCGTTCTCTTTGTTTTCAGTGCAGATAACCAATAAGGTGTCCTTTATTTCTGTTACAGAATTTTCTCGTTCCTGGATGTGGTCACTCTGTGCCGTTGTGCTCAAGTTTCCAGGGTAAGAGCCTTCCTCTTTGCGGGTGGGTGTTAGCGGTTGACAGGATTTGGGTGACAATCTGGGGCTCCAGCCCTCCCCAGCAGGGCAAACCGGGAGGATTTGTACCGGGAGCGTTGTGCAACTCAACCGTTGGTATTTCGTGTCCCATATTAACGCCGCAGTACCAGAAACTTCTAGGGGCACCAGCGAAGGGGACTCGAAGCTTCAACACCGTTTTGCCGGTGTCTGAGCAGGTTACAGAGGGAGGGAGGTGGCCAAATTTTTACCTAAGAACTCTGCAGTCAGCCTGGGTGTGCACAGGAGACCTTGCGCTGCTGGAAATCCCAAACTTTGAGTCTAAAGTGGCGTCTTGTGCGTTTTGGTGGAGATACAGACATTTTGATTCGCTAAAATACTGCACAGTCAATGGGTGTTTACATTTCCAGCTTGGATTATGTTCATGTAAGCATGGGGGGAAGAAAAACGAGTGTCTGTTTTGTTTAAGGTGGTTTTTTTCCTGAGGTAGCTGATAATGCTGTGGGCTTCAGCTGATGAAATCCAGCTTGGATTATTCGCTTGGGAAAGTCCTCCCAGCTGCAGGTCCCGTTATCGAGAGCTCCCAGATTTGTTCGGATACCCTCTCCTGTCAGATCCGATCGGGCTCACGGAGGGAGCACTGCTGCAGCAGCAGGGGAAGGTGGTTGCACAGGGAGGTGTTTGTGGTGGTGCGTTCCCCGAGCCGGCAGAGCCAGTCCTGTACAAAACTGACCCATCCTGGGTGCAAACTCAATCCGTAACTTGTTTCATTATTCAGTGTACATAAGAATAAAAGAAAGACTATGCCTGAACATTTTTAATGGCATTAAAATCAGCCTGTGTGGTGTCTAGGCATTACAGTTATCATCCCGTGCTCTCTGCATAACATAGGTCTTTTAGCAAAAGATCTTCTGGCTGTAAATCCCTGCTCCAGCAGAACAGTATTGACCAGAGCGGATCAGAGCTCCTTGCCAATGTCACGGTGTACTCCCATTTTTGCTGCTTGCTGCTGTTTACACAGGACCCAAGTATCTGCGCAGAGCTGCAGAAAGGCTGTGTGTAGTATTCCCCATGTTACACGTTAAAATCTGCTGGGGCATGACTTGCATCCACTCATGCATCTCTTTTCCACTGCAGCTGTGATTTTTCTCCTAGACCTTAAAGCAAATACCAGCAGTGGGATTTAAAATGCAGAAAATCAATGCTTCCAGTTCTGCAGCTGTTGTAAGTCTGTACGTGGCTTGCACAAGAGCTGGTGTATTGGGATGGAGATGTGGCTTAGTGCATGCAATAGATGTAGTATACAAATGTCCCTATATACGTATACATGCACTCTTTCGTAATGATGGATGTTACGGGATCTAGCTGGTTGTGTAATTAAAACTTCAGCACAGCCTTTCTGATTCATTAAGGACAGAATTACTCACTTTCCGTGCCTGCTTCTCATTCATAGCATGAACTCCCTGAGATTTTCTGTTTGTTTAAAAAACCCAAACCAGACCCTGAAGTCACTGATAGTGAACACTGTCACTGCAGCAGTGGTGCAGGTAAGAGCGGGACGCAAAGCTCTGAGTTTCTCCGTCTGTGGGACGCAGCACCCGTGCACCAACCTGTGGGACCACCTTGAGCTCCTCCTCCTGCTGGAAACAAGAGAGGAGGTGTGTGAAGTGATGGCTTCAGCCGTGGGATGTCACCTCCTAGTCCTCTGTCCCAGTGTCACCAGATCCTCCACACCCTCAGACCAGCTTCATTGCCCTTGTCAGTGGTTTAGGGTCCCCTCTGGGCCTCGCCCATGTCCTGGTGTCCCTCATCTCCATGCTGGTCCTGCCAGCACCCTCGAAAGGCGCTGGTGATGCTGCGGAGGGGTTTAGGTTCCAGCCAGGACCCTGAGGATGCTCCAGCACCGGTCCTGGGCTCAGCACCAACCCCGCAGTGGGAGCAGACGTGGCCAGGGCTTGGGGACTGGGGGACACGCGAAGAGGGCACCGTGTAGGTGAGGGGACCCTGTCCTAGCCAAGCGGCTCTGGTAACTGCAGTTATTCCCTGTTGGCTGTCATTACTTGCTGCTTTTCCATCTGAGGCAGAATGTTGTTTCTAAAAGGAACCAACTGTAACCAGGTCCCCAGTGGCGGTTTTTGTCGTATTAACACCACATTTACATTTTTTCCCTGATAAAGGCATGGAATGTTCTGGCCCTGGATGGCAGTAACTGGCAGCGAATTGACCTGTTTGATTTCCAGAGGGACATTGAGGTATAATTAAGTGGCATACAAACCCATTTTTCTTGTTAAAATGTAATTACAGCCTAGAATGGATTAATACTCCCAGTGTAACCCTTTTTACCTTCCCTGGAGATAGAAATCATTAATTTCAGCTCTTCTCAGCTTCGGGGAGTCTTTAAAAGTCTTGACAATCCATTCAGCTTTTGAAAATGGACAGAATTATGTACCTCTATCAGGACTCAAAGGTAGTAATAGAAAGAAAACATTTCTGTGTGTGTTCTGCAAACAGAAATAAGAAGAATAGGCGTGTTCTTGCGGAAACCTGCTGCTGTTGTACAGCAGAACTTAGGCTGCGTTTCTTCTCACTCAAAGAAAAGTTAACGTAGCGCTGACTTAGACCATTGCGGCTGAACGTCTTCTGAAGCCTGGCCTGCAATGTGTCTGTCCTTTCCTGTCCATCTCTAATACTGATAATTGAAATGTAAGTGAAATCATTCCAGGGGACGAGGCCAGGATTGTTCCTAAAAGGTGCAGCTTTGCAAACGCTTCCTCGTAGCTGCTCTAAATCTGTTGGGTGTGAACTACTTGGCACTGGTAGGAATGGATGCTCTTGCGCTGTTCTGAAATTTCAAATTGTATTAATCAGGATAAGAGACAAAAAAAAAAACCCTTTAAGTTTCTTTCCAGGATGTTATATCCTGTTTAAAACACGTTGGAGGACTGAGGCAGGAAGTGCATCCTTTCAACTTGCTATAGACAGAGGCATGAGCCAGGTGACGACTGAAGAGTCACACCTTTTGGGCAATACACACATTATTTATCTCTTAACATGCTCTGAAAGATCTGGACACATATATTTACCTACTTCCATAGCAGCAGAGCAGAGCTACCAGCAGTGCCTGGGCCGTGGGGGCAGCAGGAGACGTGGTCAGAGCTCCCCAGCCTCGCCGCTGGGGTGCAGGAGGGCGAGAGACAAGAGAGCTGGGAATAGAAATGAGGATTTTCTTGTTCTGGAGCAGTTTTTGCCCGGTTTCAGTGTCCCTTTGTTCTGTGACACCGCTCTGTACATCAAACGCGTGTTCTTGCGTACGCATGGACTTGCTCTTTTAAAACAAAACACTTGAATACGTCGTACCTAACCTAAAAGCACCTGCTAGGCTTCCTGGTGTCCTGAATGCTGCTTGCTTTGAAGGGATGTAAATCCATCAGCTGATGGAAATTCCATTTGTTATATAAACGTGTTTGAGTCCTCTAATTCAAGCACATGAGTTCATGGGTGTGCTAGAGGAGTTAACCTGGTGTCCCTTGTCGATTGTGTGTATTACATTGTACCCAACCTGGCACTTGACATTTTTTGGACTGGGAAAAGATGATAGAAGAATGGCTTCATCATTATAGAGGTCTTAATTGCCAATTAGCACTTGAAGAACCGAGCGATGTTCCCATTCTGTGATGAACAACCCCGTGGACTAAAGCAGAGGGGAAGGTTTTTTGAATTTCTGGACACTGATACAAATACTCTCTCACTGTTTTTTGCACTTCATGCTTCCCTTGATTACAAATCTGACTTTTAAAAAGCATTTTTTTTAGAGCTCTTTAACACAAATCTTTGAATCCTTTTTTTCTGAGAGAACAGAACTCGTGGGCAGGTTCTGCCTCATCTCTGTTTTGAACAGAGATTTAAGTATATCCATTTATAGTCCATTGACTGCACGCACTTGTAAATCTTACCTGCCCGTGCTGTCACAGTGGCTTCCTTCATCTTCCCGGGGCAGTCCCCATCGATGTCCGGGAGCTCTGAACCAGAGGAAGAGTCTCAGTCGCTGGCCTGAACGGCTTTAGGGAACTCTTCCCTCTCTCCATCTTCAGAAGCTGAATTATTCCCCCTCTCCCTGCCTTAGATTATCACCGTGGCATTTTTGTTATCTTAGCACCGTTTTACTTAGAATAACAAACTGTTGTTTGTCTGCAAAATTTCGAATTCGTGGTTTTGGGCACCGCTGTCGCTGTGGGGACTTTACCGTGCTGCCTTGTCTCCGGCAGGGCCGAGTGGTTGAGAATATCTCCAAAAGGTGTGGGGGCTTCTTGCGGAAGCTGAGCCTGCGCGGCTGCCTGGTGGTGGGAGACAATGCATTAAGGTACTGGTACGGCTTCTTCCTCCTCTTCCATGCGATAGAAAGGATAACTCTGGGGTGATTTATGAATACTTTGGGACTGACATTTTTAACCTCTGTGTCTACCTTAAAACGTTGGGAGCATTAACGTATATAAGCCTTTTAAACTGATCACTTTTTAGCTTCACACAGTAGCCATTTTTCACAATTCTCATTAAAATAGAGCCAGCTGCTACTACAGGCTAAGCAGTAATCAGTGCTGAATTACAGACTTTTGCCTTTAGGCTGGGAAATCCCAAGGCAAGATACGGGGCAACGTAGAGATTATTTTATTTACTTATTCATTTTGCTTGAGATAATTTTGTAAAATTGTAGCTGATGATACAGTTGAAACAAACGCTGTAAAACATCTGCAAAGCTATTCCCTGAAAAAAACACCATGTTTTCCCTTTTCTTTAATAAAGGACATTTGCACAGAACTGCAGAAATATTGAAGTATTGAACCTAAATGGCTGCACCAAGATCACAGATGCGTGAGTAAAACCTTTTTCTCCCCGCCATCCCCTTTTCTGTGTGCGCCCTTTTAAATTCTCCATCTCCTTTTTAAGGAAGGCCGTGGTTGTGCGTGCAGTAGATAATACAATGCATGTCATGTAAAACATGAGTGTTTCCTGCGTGCTCTTTCAGGACGTGTACCAGCCTGAGTAAGTTCTGCTCGAAACTCCGGCAGCTCGACTTGGCTTCCTGCACGTCCATAACCAACCTGTCTCTGAAAGCGCTCAGGTAGGAGGCAAAACCAGTGATTTTGGCCGGTGAATTCCAGACGGTGTGACCCACCATTGCCCCCTGTGCCTTGGAGGAGATGGGCACAGGCTGGGGAGTAACCAGGATGAGAATCTGGGCATTTCCCAGCAGAGCTCAGCGTTCACCTCCTGGTTTGTGAGGCAGAGGAGGGCTCAGTAAAAGCTGCCCTTGACCTTGTGTGTACCCATCCTGATGGTTAGCAGCAGTAGAAGAATTATATTCTATTAAAGTCTTGGATTTTGGGGGAAACAAGCCTTTTAAAATGTTCATTTACTGACAGTCAGCTTCTTCATTGTAAGTGTGCCATTAATGGTTTGCATAGCGTGCAGGGGAGCACCAATGTGTGACTGTTTGTCTTTTTTAACTGCTTAGGAGACATAGAACTGCTTAAATCTGCTAAATGGAGTTGCCAAGTAATCTAGAAAAGGAAAGGACAGACAGGCATTGGTGGGAAGATATTGGGACAGGGAAAAGGAAGCAAAAAAACCACTGAAGGTAACAGGGGCCAAGCTATGTGAAAACAAAATGCAAGTCATTCGCCAGTGGAGTAAAAGAAAATACAGGAAAGCTGTGTCACGGGAAGAGAGAGCAGAAGAAAACACAGATTTGAAAGAACGAATGAACGATTAAATTGTATTTGTAGCCTGTTTTTTCCTTCCCTTGGGAATTTTCCTTGTCTAATTTCACGTGGTCACATGTGTGCTGCAGCTATCTTAAATACCTGAGAGCATGTATTTATCTCTTCCCAATGACAAATTACACTTGAGCATTACTCCTGCTGGTAGCTATTGGCAAAGGCAAAGTTACACCTGGAAGTTAGCAGCAGCGTGGCAGGAACTGACCCTGGGACTGGTTTTCGTGGAGGGTGCTTTGGTTGTGTGCAGTCCCAGAAAGCCCATGGTGTCTGTGCTGGTACAGGAGCTGGGGACGGGTCCGAAATGGGATAAACTGGTCTTTTGACCCTACTGATAGCCTGTGTTAGAGCTCCTGATGCTGCCTCTGGAGAGCTCTCACATCTGCCCATGGTGTGTGACAAACGTGCTCCCCGTGGGTGTGGGGGTGTGGGTGTTCATCTGCTCACATGGGTTCCAGAATTGGGAATTTAAGTTTCCCCATGCTTTTCCTTTCACCTCCAAAGCGAGGGGTGCCCGCTGCTGGAACAGCTGAATATCTCCTGGTGCGACCAAGTGACGAAGGATGGCATCCAGGCGCTGGTGAGGGGCTGCGGAGGCCTCAAAGCCCTGTTTCTGAGAGGCTGCACGCAGGTACGGCTCCACGGAGGGTGCTCACGTTGCATGAGAACAGCTGCCTTATTTCTGCTGGGACTGAAAGCACGGGGATGGAGTAAAGTTGATTTTTCTATTTCCAGGAATGTTACGTTACTGAAATTACTCACAATCTGCTGGAGATTAACTGCTTTTATTGAAATTCTTTAATAGCTTTGAGCTCAGCGTGAATAGCGGGACAGGGAACAAATTGCATATCTCGCTGTAAAATCATTCTTCTTTTCTCCTGTCAGAAACACACTGAGCAAACTTTTTTAAAGAGGAGATAACTCTGTTATTCATGGCTGGAGGCTTCCCTTTCTGAAGCCTCAGAGAGCATCACCGCGTATGTGACTCCTGGAAAAGACCTCCCCGCACCAGTCAGGAGCACAGCACCATTCCCTCAAATATTTTCTTATAACTCTTGAGACATCACAGTGTATTGTGAAGAAGCTGTGATGCTTGTTCTCTGAAATCTAGAAATGGTGCATTGACTCTTACAGCTGAAAGTGGTTGGGGTTTTCTTGGTACAATGATTATTTATATTTCTTTTACGTTTTGTTGTAATAGTTTTTGTTATTTAGGCTGACTTCCTCTAATTTTTCTTTACTGTTTTACCTGGTAAGTCATTGAAAAGTGTAATAAATACTTCTCCTTACTAAGAAGTTGTATAAATTATGACCTGGGAACATCAGCCTTCAGCATTACTCTTTTAATGAGCAAGAGCTCCTTGCAAAGCTGTTTTGCAGAGAAAGTAGGGGCCAATTCTTACTATTTTTAACTTAAGAGGGCTGGGGTCTTTTTAATGCAGACAGATAGTCTAGAAAGGAGCAAATGAGTATCTCAGAATCTTATATTTGAGAAGGGAGAGTAAAACAGACCCTGCAGGAGTTGAAATCTGTGATGCAGAGACTCTTCTCTTGCAGAAGAGGAGACTGAGGGGAGACCTCATTCATGTTTATAAATATTTAAAGGGTGAGTGTCACGAGGATGGAGCCAGGCTCTTCTCGGTGACAAACAATGATAGGACAAGGGGTAACGGACACAAACTGGAACACAGGAGGTTCCACTGAAATTGGAGAAGAAACTTCTTCTCAGTGAGGGTGACAGAGCACTGGCCCAGGCTGCCCAGAGAGGTTGTGGAGTCTCCTTCTCTGCAGACATTCAAAACCCGCCTGGACGCCTTCCTGTGTAACCTCATCTGGGTGTTCCTGCTCCGGCAGGGGGATTGGACTGGATGAGCTTTGGAGGTCCCTTCCAATCCCTAACGTGCTGTGATTCTGTGATTCAAGGGTTCAAGAGCCTCCAGGTAGACCTGGAAGCCGATCTCTGCTCTGTTGGGTCCTTGCCCCTGAGCACTGCCGGCACTGGTTTGGTTTGGATTTGTTTTTCTTCTTTGGGGTAGAGATTCCTTAAATACGAGTCAATGACTGCCATTTTCCTCCGCCGTGTAGAGATGAGCAGATAGATGTTGTTATTTTGCAAACAGCGTGTTTCTCCTGTGCGTGGACACAAAGTTCCCCCAGGTTGGTGTGATAAGCAGAGCAGTAACACCCTGGTTGTGTGCGCAGCGCAGTAACAGGCTACGGGCTGCAGGCCGTAGTTTTTCTAAATTTATATCACTGCTGGGTTTCTAATACGTGAGATGGGTGTACATGGCTGTAAAAAGGACTTGATTAAAGATACAACAATCTCGGCCTATTTTGAGAATTCAGGTCAGAGAAACAGCTTGAGTTTCTAGTAATTTATGGAGTCGTGAGTAATATTGATGGCAATACAGCCTTGTTATCAATTACTTGCCATCTGTTCTTATAGATTTAAGAATAGCAGGCTTTTTTATCAGCAGAAAGCAACCTGGGTACGTTTGTGCTTCTCGCATTGAAATAAGGCTTTTTTGCAGTAGAAAAATGGTGTTACTGACAGGCCCTCGCTAGCGAAGCGTTTCCTTCATTCCTGTAAAGTTTCTGATTTCACAACTTGCTTTGTTAATTATGCATGTTTGATCAGATCAGCGTTTTCTTTAAATGAGTAACTCAGTGGCGTGGGTCTTTGAACTCTGTTCCTGCGATGGTGTAAAAAAAAAAACCAACCATGCAGTTATTTCTGTGTAGTTTGAGACTGCGGCGCGTTGCCCTCCTCCCCCACAGGTACCCAAACCACAGATGCTTTATTGTTCCCAAAGCTTTATTTTTGAAGATTCCTTCAAGTGTTTTAACAGGTTGCTTCAGTCTTAATTTTTTAAATTGAAATTCTTAATTTTGAAATGGAAATTCTTAACTTTTTTAATTGAAATTCTTAACTTTTTTAATTGAAATTCTTAACTTAAAATTTAAATCCTTAACTTTTAAAATTTAAATCCTTAAATTTTTAAATGTAAATTCGTACATTCTTAAATTTAAATTCTTAACTTTTTAAATTGAAATTCTTAAATTCTTAAAGTTAAATCCTTAAATTTCTCTTTCCAGCTTGAGGATGAAGCTCTGAAATACATCGGTGCACATTGTCCCGAACTGGTGACTTTAAACCTGCAAACGTGCTTAGTAAGTAAAGCTTCCCATGATTTCCCGACGCGGCCGTTGTGTGCGTTTAAAGGCTGCCTCTAAGCAGAACCGTGCAGAACGTGCTCCATCCCAGAAACATCGGGGGTGCAGACAGAGCAATTGTCAATTTATGAGACTTTTAGAAATAGTTGATGAAAAGCAGCTCTTTGGTAATGTCGAAAAAGCACCCAAAACGGTGTCGTAGCATTTGCTTTGTCAGAATTGTTTGTGTCTCTGCCCTGCCCATAGGGTTTCTAAACTCATTTGCAGGATGAGCTGGAAAAATTCTTTCCATGGGGCCGGAGTGTTTGTGTGCTGATCTAACCAGGCGGCTCCTCTGTCTCTTCCTAAAATTCACCCAGAAAGTGCAGTTTCCCTGCACAGGAGGGCTCTGAACCAGTTATTCAACAGTGCCAAAAATGTATATTTATGCCAAAAAGGAAATTGGAACGGGCTCTTTGTACATACATCATGCAGTTAGCGCGACAGTGAGTAACTGCTCAGTCTCTTCCTTTTCCATGGAAGAGGGCAAGCCCTTTGGGGGCTGCAGGGCTGGCCGTTCCCAGTCCTGTTATGTAGCTTTACCAGTTACCAGACTGGTGAGAGACTGGAGCTTGCAAAGGAGGAGGTGGATTGTGAGCAAGCCACAGACCTGTGTCGAAGGGAGAGGCAAGAAGGGGGAAGCAAACTGATAAAGTTCTTGATCGCCTTAACCGAAAATACCAAGTTTACTCAGTTTCTGTTTCATCTCCCTCCACACTTAGCAGCCCACAGGCTTTTGCTCTTTGCTGTTTTAAAAGCAGCAGTGCCTGTCCCTTTCCTGGTGCTTTTCTGCAGGAATTGGGTCTGGCTGCCTCTGAAAACCCAGAACTGAACGAGGTTTGACCTGGTCCTGCAGCACATGCAGGTCCCTTTTCCCCATCCCGCTGCATTCGTTGCCCTTGATCCCATGCAGGTCCTTGGCACAGCCACACAGAACCCCAGCCCTTTGTGGTCTTGCTCGTGTGGGGAGACATCTGGAGCAGATTTGTGCACCGGTGCCATCCCAGAGCAAAGCACACGAGGGTGGATGGACCCTGTATGTCTGGGATGCAGCAGGTCCATGGAGCTGCTGTGCCATGGAATCAATTTATCGTGATTTAGGCTGTAAACCATTCTCTCACATTTCAGGTTTTGGTCCCAAAGCACTGGAGTGTATTTTTTTAAAACTGCTGCTTATTTCATGGGTAACCCTGACTGTTGGGTGCTTTCTTGTCTTGAGTTTCAGCCCAGAAAGTCTTCATGAGCGTGGGTCGCAAAGAAAGGCAGCAGACTGAGCTGGGCCTGCCGCTGCCGTGCCTGCCCCCATCGCTCCCGTGGCCCAGGCGCTGAAACCTTTCCGTGCATGTGGAATCACTTTCCGAGTGTTTACAAGTCACTGCAGCGTGGCTTATCCTGTTTCAGCTGCTGCAGTGAAATAGTTGAATGCGTTTTTGGGGTTGAAAGAAGCGTCGCTTGGCGTCAGTTAAGTGCCTGCTTGGAAGCCCGAGAAGGAAACTATGCAGTGCCTTGCACCTCCACCTACGTTGTTATGGCTTGTGATGCTGTTATTGTTTTTCTTGTAGCAAATAACAGATGATGGTCTCATTACAATATGCAGAGGATGCCACAAGTTGCAATCCTTGTGTGCTTCAGGCTGCTGTAACATTACAGATGCCATCCTGAATGCCCTGGGACAGAACTGCCCACGGCTTAGGTAAGTTTTCCCTGCAGTTACCCCAGCCCCGTTGCACGTTGAGCAAAGGATTTTGTTGATGTGATCGTGCAATATTTGAGCCATTTTGGACTCTGAAGGCCTTTCTGAAAAGGTGTTTTTATCACAGAGCTTTTTCCAGGCATTTGCTGTGAGATGCTCGTAGTTTTACCCAAACTTCTGCTTTCTAAACCAGTGCGAGTAGAAGAGTGGTAAAAGAGCTCCATGCCATGGTGCTGTGCGCTGCCAATAAACTCATTTAGCAACAGTCTCCATTGCGTATCTGCTGTTGTTCTTTTATGAAAAACAGTTGAGGTTAGGTTACTTCTGCATTGGGAACCGAAAACACACTTAATCAACGTTGTTTCCTCTTGACGTGTGATTTTAACTTACTTTTCATGATGATTTTGTAGCAGGTGGAATTTGTGCAAGCGTTCACTCTGCTTGACAGGGTGAGCTTCCAGCAACATCTCTGCAGGTGCTCGCTTCTTTTTTTTTTAATTATTATTTTTTAAGACTTTGTTTTATTAGGACAAGTTTCGCTATAATTCAGAGAATGGCCAGGTGCAGAGAGAAGAGGCAGTTTTATTATCTGACATCTGCACCAGCTGAGTGGCCTGGATTAAACGGCGTAAAATGCGACTTCCAGGGGAAAAGAAAACACAACTGTGTTCTGTGATAGATCATTTAAAGAGTTATGGGTACAAAGTGCAGCATACAAATGTATGGAAACCAGTGTTGAAAGAGGAAGGTAACATAGCATTTTGGTTCCAGAGCTGTGTTATTTAAAGCTGCAGCTTTACACTAGTAAGTTCCCTATGGTCAAATGCATGATGCACTTTAGGAAAGTTGGTTTCCTTTTCTGTAAAGGTAGATAAATACATGAACACTGAAGGAAACCTCTGTGTAGTTGTAACTGCCAGAAAGTTTCTCTGTTGCCACTGCAGCGAGCGCTTTGCCTCTTAGAAGACTTCAGACTCTTCTGTCATGGCATTAAGTGTTCATTCCTACACCTTTTCTCACCATGTGTATGGGGTGGAAAGCAGAGGGAGGTGGCTCAGGAGCATCCAGCAATGTGGGGTTTCTAAGGACACCTTAGTCCATCATTTTTCGGCTCATACCTGTGGGGTATGGACTGGGTGACCCCAGGTGTCCCCTTTTAGCCCAACTCCTCCTTCCCCGTGACCAGCGCTCAGGTGTAGAGGGTGGGCGCTCTCTGCAAATTCTGAGCCCAAACTGGGTCCAACTTTTCTGGGTTTGCTGGAGGCTTTTGGTGAAACTCTGGGAAGCAGAATGACTCCACCGTGGTTATTATTGATTCTTTCTGTGCAGAATATTAGAAGTTGCAAGGTGTTCTCAACTCACAGATGTGGGCTTTACCACTCTAGCAAGGGTAAGTGCTCCTTTCCCCTTCCTCATCAAGTGCCTTTGCTGTCTTTTCGTGATGGATGGGAACCAGCAGTAGCTTTTACCTGGAGATTTTTAATGCTTTTGATCTTGAGGTTTGAGTGGAAGCTAAGTTACAAAAATGAGGTTGGATGTAATCTTTGGCATGGTCCTGACCCACACATCCAAACTGCGTGAAATGTTGAATACTTGGGAATTGTAAACTTTGCTGTTTGCCTTTCTAGATTAATGTGTTGTGTAGAACTGACTCCAAATTTAATTTCTATCAAAAAAACCCCTCTGTACCTTTAAAGGAGTGAAACTGTTAGATTTTCTTTACTATACTGGGTGCTGTTTGTAGAGAAGCAGCAAACTTTGCTTCCAGCCGTGATGATTTAAGGAGGAAAACTCATTTTTAAAAAGAACTGTTGTTATCGTACTTGTGTTTGTATTTGCTGTCTGAACCATGCGCTCACTCTGTGTGTTTGGTTTTCTGTTTGTCCCCAGAACTGCCACGAGCTCGAAAAAATGGACCTGGAGGAGTGCGTCCAGGTAGGAGGTGCCACCTCGGGCTGTTGGCAGGGATTTAATGAGAATATGGCAACAACTTGAGATAAAACCGGGGTGTCTGTGCTACCGTTAGCCTTCCTCAAAGGGAAATTAAAATAATA